GTATTGTCAACTAAGATGATCCCTACTTGCATAGAACTTAGAGTCTAGTGCAGGAGAGAGACAATAAACGAGTCAATAAACCAGTAAAATGTAATTACTAAATCAGGATAGATTCTGTGAAGGAAATAAGCAGAATCAATAGAATCACCAGTAGTTGTTTGCTTTCTTTGTGATTAATTATTTTTACAATCAACATCTATTGCTTCTAAACCAAAACCAAGCCGAACTCACTGCCATCCAGCTGGATCCGACTCATAGTCGACCCCTCCTTGGTTTTCTCCATGGAAGTAGATTGCCCAATCTTCCTTCTGAGGAGTGGGATGGTGAGTTTGAACTGCCAGCCTTCTGAATAGCAGTTAAATGCCTTAGGCACTATGCCACCAAATCTCCCCAATTGCTTCTATGTTAGAAAATTCTATTTCCTAAACCTAAGTGCCCTTTTCTCAAAACCTTAGCAAATTACGTAGATTCAATGATTCATTTTTGTACCAAAGGAGCCATTATTTGAAGTTGCAGTGGATTGTTGTTACCTGTGTGTAATATTGTTGTAGGGAGAAGGTGGATTAATATCTATCTGACATTCCTAAGTTCTTTGTACCTGTACAGTATAGAGTAATACAAACCATCTAATGAGGAAAAAATTGGGATAGTTGAGGGCATATTTGGAGGTAGAAGACTTTTTCTGAATTTTAGATCTATGCCTTTTTACTTTAACAGATGGCTTCCCTTGGATTAATATAAACAGATGCTTTACACAGCTAATTATTAGAGCTTGATTTCTGGAAAATGGGAAGCATTTGTCACAGTTTTCATGGGAGTGTAATCTTCAAATAGTAATAATAAATAATCTTGGTCCTAAAATCATTAAAATTTCAGATTGGATTGCTTTACACTCTTTCTTTTACTCTCCAGGCTCCTAGTCCTTTCTACTTCCTCCCCCACCCCACTCCCAATTCTTCTAAGTTAAACTCCTCTGGTACTATGCAGTAGAGGTTAGGTATCTGTGCTGTGGAGGTGAAGTGGGTTCAAATTCCAGATCTGTTACTCACTAGCTGCAGTATAGTAAATTACTTAGTGTGGCTTTTCTACCCATAAGTCTTTATAAACTCCAAGGTGGGATTTGCTATGAGCAACTGAGGAGCTCCTGATTGCTGAAGTTGTCCACCTGGAGTATTTCTGTTGGGAGTGGCACAAAACAATGTTCTGGGAGGTGCCCACTCTCTCTCAGGTGCTTAGAGTTCTGATGCTATGATTGGCTAGTTTGACCACGCTGCCAGGCTCAAAAGGAGGCCTCCTAGAGGCAGAACTCTCTCTGACTGCTGGTTGAGGAAGACGTGCTGCTGAAAGACACATGCACCCCATAAAGAGACACATGCTGCTGGGAAAGAGATGCAAGAGACACGCATTGCTGAGTGAGACACCGAGGGACCAGCACTGCCAGGAAAGAGACTGTGAGAGACTGTTGGCTGAGGGATGGTGGGCTGGGAGAGAGACTGAGCATTTTTCCTGAACTCGAATTGTAGCCTGTGGTGCTTCCCTAATAAACCCCATAATCTGTGAGTTCTGTGTGGCCACTGCAGCAAATTATCGAACCCAGGAGAGAGGTGGTGGGTGCTTTGGGAGGAACGGTTGGAGAAGGGCTAGAGGGAGGCAGCATGTCTGGCCTGGCAGGAATAGGCCTTGGGTTACTGCTGGTAATCCTGTCTTCCCCTTGTAGGGTTAAAGGAGGTCGGAACATGTGGCCTCCTTGCCGTTTTTGCACTAGCCATGGAGCCTTGGCAGCTTACTTTTCTCTGTGCCTCAGTTTCTTCATCTATGAAATACAGATTATGATAATACCTCTTATGGGATTGCTGAAAGGGTAAAATAAGTTCATATTTGTAAGGTTCTTATCACAATGTATAAAATAGGAGCTCTGGTAGCATAGCGCCTAAGGCACTTGACTGTTAACCAGAAGGCTGGCGGTTCAAACCCACTAGCCACTCCTCAGAAGGAAGGTTGGGCAATTTACTTTCGTAGTGATACTGCCTCGGAAACCCAAGGAGGGGTCACTATAAATCGGGGCCGACTTGATGGCACATAACAACAACAACATTACAATGTCTGACATATAGTAAGCACTGTATAATTATGGCCTATTAATATATAAACTGTTTCCAAGGCATATGAGGGAGCTCTGGTGGCATAGTGCCTGAGGCATTTGACTGCTAACCAGAAGGTTGGCTGGTAGTTCAAACCTACCAGCCACTCCTCAGAAGGAAGACTGGGCAGTCTACTCCTGTAGAGATAAAAACCAAAAACCAAACTCACTGCCGTCGAGTCAGATCTGACTCGTACTGACCCTTCCTTGGGTTTCCAAGCCAGTATCTCTAAGATTGCCTAATCTTCCTTCTGAGGAGTGGCTGGTGGGTTTGAACCACCAACCTTCTTGTTAGCAGTCACATGCCTCTGCCTCAGAAACCCAAGGTGGGGTCGCTATGAGTTGGATCTGACTCAGTGGCAGTGAGTTTGGTTTTTTTGGTTTAAGGCATATGAGAAGCAGTAAGCAAATAATTGCATCTTCATTTATTGCCCCTAGTTTTCATCATCATTATCATTGTCAAGTTTCCCAAAAATGTAATATTCCATTGAACATTATTTAGCTTAGAAGAATATCTTTCAGTAGAAGGATTTCTTAGTTCTTTTAATGTCTGATATTGAGGATAGGTTGTAAATAGAGTGATCCTTGTTTTGGAGGAATCAGCATTAAGTCAAGTTGAATCATTATTCAGCCTAACAAGCTCATGTGTACAGCAGACATGATAGCCTTGATGATTCAACATTTGTTGAATAGATGAGCATTCAGAAATAGGACCTCCTGATTGCTACGGTAGATACCATGCATTGCTATTGCCCTTGTCACTTTTGAAATATCATCCAAGTTCCTTTTGAGTGATACTTTATGGATTCAAGCTAAATAGTTTTTGAGTGATACATTATGGATTCAAGCTAAATATTTCTACATCTTTGGGTTTCAGCAATTGACATGTTGATCATATGTAATTTAATTAACTACTTATATACTTAAGTATATATAATTGTATAGACCATATATGTATTTAACTCCAATATGGAGTTATAATAGTGTGCTGGAGTGTGCTTCACTGTAATCACACTTAAAAATTATTTTTTGCTCCCCCCTCAGAGCTTTCATTGGTTCCTTTTACTTTGGCTCTGTATTGTTTTTTATTCCCAGAAAATATTCCTGAGAAAGATCTTCATGGAAGACTTTATATCAACCGTGTTTTTCATATCAGCGCTGAGAGAATGTTTGAATTGCTCTTCACCAGTTCACGCTTTATGCAGAAATTTACCAATTCTAGAAATATATTAGGTGGGTTCTTTTGTTCTTACCAAATGACAAATTTTATTATCCTTAGAGCACTGAACCTATATAAACTGATTAATGTTGTCAGGAAAAAGATAAAATTAGATGTGCTTTGATTTTATTATGGTGATATATAAGCTGGTATTTAAATATTTTTGTTAAATTCACATGTTAATAGTGTAATTGTTTAATTAGTTAGATCCTGTGTACATTTACCATATTGAATAATTGTTCAGCCCCTTGAAAACTCCTTTTATACACTAAGTTCAAAAGGGCTCTGTTTTGGAAGGGTTCTGGGTACTGATTGATAGATGCTCAAAAACACACTGCCATTGAGTCAGTTTGACTCATAGTGACCCCTTCTTGGGTTTCCAAGATGGTATCAGTACAGAAATAGATTGCCCAGTCTTCCTTTGAAGGAGTGGCTGGTGGTTTGAACTGCCAGCCTTCTGGTTAGCAGTCTTAGGTTAGATGCCTTAGGCACTATGCCACAGGGAATATAAATTGGTATAGCCACTTGGCAGAATTGTTTAGCAGTATCAACTACAGCTGAACATAAGCATTCTCCATGAATGTGAACAATTATAGTCCTGGCTGTATACTCATCACAAATGTGTAGATATGCACATTGAATAACATACTATAGTGTTCATAACAGCATTATCTGTAATAGCCAATAATTCAAAATGGCCCAAAAATTCTGTGTAATAGAATAAATAAACAAATTGTATATGCTCACACAGAAGAATGTTATGTAGCAGTGAAAAGCAATCACAGTACTGCTACTTACAACAATATGAGTACATTTCACAGATGTTAGTTAGCAAAAGAAGCCAGACATAGTATGGGTACATACTATATGATTCCATTATATAAAACTTCAAAAACAGGTAAAACTGATTTGTAGAGATAAAGTCAGAATGCCATTGTGGAGAGTGGGGTGAGTAAAGACTGGAAGGGAGTGTCTGCGATGCTAGTGAAACTCTGTATCTTGAGCTGAGTGGTGTTAGCTAGTGCTTCTCCTTTGTGAAAACACATAGAGCTGTATACACTTAAGATTACAGTGTCTGTGGTATATCTCAGTAGAAAAATTGTAAAAAATGTTCCACTTAGGAAATTAGTTATATTCAAAAGAAGGCCATTATTGATTGTGTGTTAAGTTTCTATTTTGCTAAACGTTTCAAATACAATTATAGTTCGTTTGAAGCTCATTTTACCTGAATATATCAAGATATTTTATAAACTTTTGGAGCATACAGTTTAGCTTGCTATATAAAATTAAAAGACAACAGCAGCAGATATTCTTATAAGGTAACTCATTGGACATAAGTCAAAGAGAAAATATTTTTTATACAATCTAGCCATTTTGTTCACCACTAGATGTTGTTGGTAGGTGCCGTTGAGTCGACTCCAACTCATAGCGACCCTATGTACAACAGAACGAAACACTGCCTGGTTCTGCACCAGACTCACAGTCCTTGCTATGTCTGAGCCCATCATTGCAGCCACTGTGTTTATCCATCTTGTTGAGGGCCTTCCCCTTTTTCATTGACCCTCCACTTTACCAAGCATGATATCCCTCTCCAGAGAATGGTCACTTCTGACATGACCAAAGTAGGTGAGACAAAGTCTGGCCATTCTCCCTTCCAAGGAGCATTTGGGGTGCACTTCTTCCACGATAGATTTGTAAGTTCTTTTAGCAGTCTATGGTACTGTAAGTATTCTTCACTGACACCAAATGCAAAAACATCAATTCTTCTTCAGTCTTCCTTATTCATTGTCCAGCTTTTCACATGCATATGAGGCAACTGAAAATACCATGGCTTGGGTTAGGTGCACCTTAGTCTTCAAAGAGACACCTTTGCTCTTCAGCACTTTAAAGAGGTCTTTTGAGCAGATTCGTTCAGTGCAACATGTCTGATTTCTTGTCTGCTGCTTCCATGGGTGTTTATTGTGGATCAAGTACAACTTCCAGTTTTACATCACTAGATATTATTCCTTTTTTTGTAGATTTTATATAAACTTGGTTATATATGCATAAATTATATTGAGGATATGGATTCTAAGTACAAAACACACTATCTTATTCAGAGAAATTAATTGAATTGTGGTTATATTAAGAGTTTCATTGTTTTAAAAAGCTATGTATTCTGATCTTCAGAGTTGAAAGATGTGGAATATCTGAGAGAGAAGTCTCTCTGTAGCTTGTGTTTAACTTTGTGTATCTAGTCTGAATCTATTTTGTATTTTCTTGCTAATAATTCCTCACCTGAAGACTTTATTTTTCAGAAGACTTAGATACATTATTTTCTTTTTCTAAGATGGTAACTCCTCAATGTACTTCCATTTCTGTATCTGAAAAGGCCTTTGAGGAGCTAGCATATATTTGCATGCTGGATACTAGATGAAGCTTGTTTCTTGGTCCACAGCTGCATGTCTTGTCTGGTATCATGTCTGTCTTCAATATGGATGTAGATGACTACATCTGATGTTATAAGTGGCACTGGGAACCAAAGTCTTTGACTAATTCCAAATCTAAACAGCTATAGGCATGTTACTCTTCAGACCTGGAAGTAGTCAGAAGCTTTACCCAAAAGTAGTTCTGTTCATGACTTCATACCATGTTGCTACCCTCTGAACTTGTTTCCTGGTAATAAAATTTGTATTTTTAGAGAATAAATTTTAAAGCCTTCTTTAAAAAAAAAATAATTTAAAGAAAACTTTTATATAGTCAATTGATTATTTGTGGGTTTAATCCAATTCTAGCATTAAAATAGCTGTTGCTAGATTAGTCTTTTATTTTATTTTTAAAATGAGGGGATTTTAAAATAGATACTCTTTTTCATTTTTATTTATGTCCTTATATACTGCTTTTAAAATTAAGAGTTCATTTTTAAGTCTTTTTTCCCAACTTTTTAATTTTGACAAAATCTCAGCCTTCAGAAAAGTTGCATAAATAGTATAACGAAACCTGTATACCTTCACCTAGACTCACCAGCTTTAAAACTCTGCCATATAAAAGGTTCTTAAAGTGTTTGTCTTGTAATCCCGGCTTTTTGTTACTTCAGCTCGGTATACAAAAAATGCTCATGTGTCTTTTTGTATACTGTTGCTGTTTTTCTTACAGTTTTATCCCAGGATTTTATATTATGATGAGCTTTACTTCAGTCTTGGGGAGTTAATTATTCCAAGGCATTGTTAACTAGATCATGTTCTGGCATATAATGTTCAGTGGTCTTAGTGGAAACACTGGTGAAAATACAAACGTGACATATTTGGGAATGCACATATTTTTCATTTATCTTTGCTGATCATTGATTGCTTTGTTGAGTAGTGTGTAATCTCCACAGCACAATTCAGTAATTTCTTTAAATTCTCTGTTTCTGATTAATAATGGATTATTTGTATCATTTTTCTGATACAGGCTGACGTATGACCAAAGTAATCTTCCAAACAGTATTTGAGAGTTAACTGTATATCTTATTTAAGTGTATAAGAAACCTGGGATGAAATTGAAATTAAAAATGGCAGTCATTATTATTGTTTACCTAAATAAATCCTAGATGATATATTCTCTGGTTTGTGGTAGTTAATTAATGTATTTGTAAGATTTTGCCAGATACTTAAAAGGTAGCTTCAAGATCCCTCCTTAAATACCTGGGCCTACATGTATAAAAGAAATAGAGTGAAATTGATTCTATCATAAAGCTTGCATCATTCCTTGTATGGTGGGTCATGGATTAGATAAAGGCCCCTATACTTCAGGCTGTTGATGAATAGCAGCTCAGCATACTGACTAATTACATAAGTCCATTTGTGCTGACAACAGTGGGTGAGTTAGCCAGGTCTTTGAATAGATTTCATGATACTCTTATGTATATTTTCCCAGTGTTTACCTTATATAAAATGACCTTCACTTGGTAGTTCTGTGTTCTAAAGCTATATTTCTGTTCAAAGTGGGTTTTTATTCACTTGTGTGCTTCTAAAGCAAAGAAAAGAGAATTTTGACCAGGATTTTGCCATAGGTACAATGCAGAGGGATGATCCTGTAGCCTTCTTAATGAAGAAAAGGTTATATAGTCATTTATATTCCATCTTTCTACTTTGAGTAAAGATTTTAGCAGAAAAACCACTGACATTACATTGTAAATTTGACATATAATTTCTCCACACATTGGGATTAAGATCATAGTGTTGCATGGTGACAAGCTGTACCACAAAATTTTGTCCTCACTCAGTGATGGTGATGTTGAAGTGTCGTTTGGTCTCTGTTTGATACGGTTTGTACCTGTAACTCCTCTTCATAGGCAATGGGACTGTAAAAGGAAGTCCACAGATGAAGCAACTTTTAATTTTATCTTTTAAAGAAAGGGAAAAGTTTATTAATAGAAAACAACTTAAAAGTAAATGGATCAGAGATAGGGAATGTGTCATGTATAAGAAGGGTGCCTAACATTTTATCTCACTTTTCTTTAATATTAAACTTATAAAAGTTCTAAGGAGGTTAAAGTGAAAAAAACAAACCCACTGCCATTGAGCTGATTCCAACTCATAGCTATCATGCAGGACAGAGTATTGCTTGCTACTCCATAGAGTTTCCAAGGCTGTAAATTTTTATGGGAACAGACTACCCCATCCTTCTCCTGTGGAACGGCTGGTGGGTTTGAACTGCCAACCTTTTAGTTAGCAGCTGTGCCATCACAGCTCCTATAAGAAAGTTAGCACTGGTTAAAAAATGAAAGTTTAAGTAATTCTAAAGCTACCTCTTTGATTCCAATTTAAAGTCATGCCTTTCAGATTTTCAGAAGTCACTCATTTTCTTGTTTGCTGTGATTAGATGTAGTATCTACTCCCTGGAATGTAGAACCTGGAGGTGATCAACTGAGAACCATGACCTACACTATAGTCCTTAATAACCCACTTACTGGAAAATGCACCGCTGCCACTGAAAAGCAGGTATGTCTATTCTGGCAGTATTCCAAAAGAATCATGCATGTGGGAAGAGAGAAGATAATGACCTGTCAGAGTTACAGGCCTAGCCCTTGAACAGTCTATAGAACATTCTGATTCTATGAATTTTAAAATTGACTTGGAGCCTGTTTTCGTTTTTTTTTTTTTAACACGGTTACTTCCACTTTCAGGGAAAATCTTTTGAACATAGTAGCACACTGAACACAGCCTATTAAAAGGCTTCAGCCTGTGGCACTTGACCTCATTCATAGTGGGAAAAAAAAAGAAAGAGAAAACAAGGGGGAATAAAGGAAAGAGAGAAAACACATGCTCTAAGATAGCTTTTCTCACCAGCAGACTGATGAACATTCAAGTGGTTGACAACCCCTTCTGTGGGGAGATAGGCACTCTTACATGTTTTTGGTGTAGGATACAAAAACATTACAATCCCAATGGAGAGGAATTTACCCTTTGATCCAACAATAACACTTCCAGGGATCTAGATCAAAGATAACATACGAATGATATATGTACAATATGTTCATGCAGCACTATTTGAATAGCAAAAATGCAGAAACAACCCAAGTGTCCATCCATAGAGAACTAACTGAAGCAATTACAGCATTTTGGTTACCTAGTGCTGCTCTGACGGGAGCTCTGGTAGCATAGTGGCTAAGGCACTTGACTGCTAACCAGAAGGCTGGCGGTTCAAACCCACCAGCCACTCCTCAGAAGGAAGGTTGGGCAATCCTACTTCCGTAGTGATACTGCCTCGGAAACCCAAGGAGGGGCCGCTATGAGTCGGGGCCGACTCGACGGCATATGACAACAACAACAACAAGTGCTGCTCTGACAGGAATATACAACAAATGGAATGGCTTGACCAAACAGGAGTTTATTCTCTTACATTTTGGGAGGCTTTAAGTCCGAGTTCAAAGTGCCAAGTTTTGGGGGCTGGATGAAAACCCCTCAACCTTGGGCTTCAGCTCTGCCTCTTGCTCTCAGCCCACTGAAGCTGGAGGCTTTTCTTCACTCAGACAGCTACTGGCTGCTGAGTCTGACAAGCCCAAGGTTGAGAAGTAAAAAGGCACAGTCCTAATGTTACCAAACAACATGGCAGACCACTAATTCAAGTCCAGATGAAGTCTCAAGATCGGCAGGGCATGGCAGGCTATAGTGACTTGGCTACATGCAGGTTTCAAGTGTGCCAAAAGGCTAGAGACCAATCCCAAAGCTTCCCCTTATGTATGGGAAACATGCCACATCCCTAAAGCAGCTACTCAGCTGCTCACAGCAAATTCCACCATGGAGTTGATTTCCAGTCTCATCATGGGGAATAACTACCTCCAGTTGCCCAGCCAAGTTGACAACAACTTTAACTACCACATGTAGTAAATTCATACAATGGAATACTAGGCAGTCATCAAAAGAAATGAGGTTGATTTCTAGGTATTGCTGTGGAGTGATCTCCAGGATATATTGTTAAATGAAAAAGCAAAGCACAGAATGGTGTGACAGTACATTTGGTATACTTTCTTTTGTCTTAGAAGACAGTATGTACATAGACACACACACACAGTAGAAGGAAAACCATAATAATAAAAAATGACTGTCTTTAGGGGGTTGGAAGGGACAAGGCTGAAAACTAGACCTCTGGGAATGCACTTTGTTCTATAACTTTAAAACCATGGGAATGTTATACACAATTGTAATACAAAATTAAATCAAAATTTAACAAAAGACTGGGCCATAAATATGAAAGCAAAATTGGACAAATAAACCTAACTGTATATTAATTTATTGCTTAACCACATAGAGGAGAATGTTACAATTGACTTAAGAAAAAGGAATTTGACTATACATCTTCAGTGGGATATATTCTAAAAATGGGAGTGGGGGGAAACAACCTTGCATAGAAATCATACCCTGTTTTAAGTAACTTTGCCATATAGATAGATAGATAAGTGATTAAGCAAATAATTACATAATGCCACTAAAAGCCAAGATTTTCAGTGTAAGAGAAAAATAGCCAAATATCCAAGATATTAAACACCTTGTAAATTCAAATTTTAATGAGACAAATCAGTATGAATTTATGATGTATTTTCCTCTTAAAAAAAATATTCTATGACCTTTGGAAAGACTTAGAACATAGCATTGTAGCAGTGAGCATTATAGCATTCAAACTTTAGCCTCTATATATTATTTCCCCCAAAAGGGATTAGAGTACCTTAGAGAAATGGCTGATTTCACAAGAGGCAGGGAATGTATCAGATAAATCTGGATAATTTGTCATACCAGAGAAAGCTATCAAAAAACCTTGGAGTCTTGTCCAAAGGTGTAAGAGCCAACACTGAAGGGAATCTCACTAACCAAATACAGAAGAATTTGACCAGCAAAAGAAATAACAACTGCAGTAGATTAATACATCAAACATGAAAAATTCCTGAGTTAATAACTTTTTCCAATTAAAAAAAAAAAACTTGTCAATCATCTTTAGAAGATGCAAAGGAACCTACTCATTACTCTGAAAAGTTGTAAACTATGAGAAAGTATCAGGTCATTTGCCTTTTGTATATAAACTGTATTTCAGAGTAATTAAGCAACTAATGAGGGAAAGTACTTCTTTACTGAAGAATTCCAGCAAGTAAGTAAAGAGTGATAGAATATGATATCAATATTTTGCAACCTTTAAAGAAATCATGGTGCAATGCAGTGATTCTCAGTGGCTGATAAAACTATTAGATTAAAAGCTAGTGAGGGATTTTATATTGGATGGCTCAGACTCACAACACCTGATCAATCTTAACATCAACAAAGAGAGACACCTAGATGTTATGTGCCTTTTGATGTGATGTATTTGGATCTAGATAGCACTTCCTATGATAACTCTTGCCCAATGTCAAACCTGGTAACTGGTAATTAAGCCTCCAATTCTAATTTGCCAATATGCATGGTATATAGGAGTTGGAGGACTGTGTTAATGATACAACAGAATATGATCAACAGGATATAAATTGTTTATTAAACAAGGTCAACAAATAAATGGCAAGACAAAAAAAAAGGTGGGGGGAACAGTTACAGGTTATACGAGTCTTAAGAGGCAAATCAACCCAATCTTAATTCAAGCAAACCAACAGTAAAAAGACCTTTATGGGACAATTAGGATTATTTAAACACTGACCAGATATTTGGTGACTTAAGGAATTTTTTTTTTAATGTTTAATAAGGGTATCATCACCATGCTTTAAGAAAAGATTACTTATCTTTTAAAGGGATGTATGGAATAATTTATGAAGGGATATATTGAAATATTTATGGATGAAATTATATGTACATCTGGGATTTCCTTCAAAAGTCATCTAGTCAGGCAGGGGATGGTGGTGGAGGGACGGGATATAGGGGTGGGGTATAGATAAAATGGTAAGACTGGGCATCACTAATATTGTTGAAGCTGGTTGATGAGCGTATGAGGGTTCATTTTATTTCATTCCTGCTTTTATGTATCTATAAAATTTTTCATAATAAAAATAGCATGACTGACATCTGGTTTATAGTAACTACATCAAGGGTTAGAGCCAGATAACTAAATGGCTGCTGTGACACTGGGTAAGAGATTGAGCTTTCCAAATGAAATATATTTGAAGGTTCCTATTATTCTGTGACCAACATGTCACTGAATATACTACAGTGGTGTGTGGCTGTGTGTTTGGCCAATTTGTGTAGGAGTATGGTGTACTTGTTCTGCAAATAGACTGAAAATATTAACATCTAAACTAGTTGTGCTGACCCTAGTTGTTGTCCATTAGTGTTCAAAGGGACTCGCCTCCTTACCTTTCTAAAATTTAAAAAAGATTTTTAAACATTTAAGAATAATTCAATATTTTGGTATTGGGGATTCTTTGATAAACTTGGGAATATATATATATATATATGGGAGCTCTGGTAGCATAGTGGCTAAGACACTTGCCTGCTAACCAGATGGCTGGCGGTTCAAACCCACCAGCCACTCCTCGGAAGGAAGGTTGGGCAATCCTACTTCCGTAGTGATACTGCCTCGGAAACCCAAGGAGGGGTCGCTATGAGTCGGGTATGACTCGACGGCACATAACAACAACAATATATATATATATATATTTTTTTTTTTTTTTCCTTAGAAGATAGATTTTTAAAAAAGTGTACATAGAAGGATTTCTCCAATAATCACTTGAAATCTTGTTAAGAGAGAAAGTGGTATTTTGTTTGGTTGCTTCCCTCGCCTCCATGTTTTTGGTGAAGGGTGGTCCTGTTAAGCTTTGGTGAACTTTGGAGTGGGGCACTTGCTTTGTTAAATTGATTTTTTAATTGTTCCCATAATAGGAACATTGAAAACTCTTTATAAGCTGATAATACACACAAGAGATTATATCATTCCCTTTTCCTCCGCATGCTTAAAAGAAAGGAAAAGTAATAATTTTATAATGAAATCAGCGACAGAGGCAGCAAATACTTTTTCTGCAGGTATCCTTTTCTCAGCTCACAGATAGCCACAGTCCAACATGGAGGCTCTTCTAGCTTTACATGTAGTCTTCTCCTGTCTTTTGTAATTTTTGAAAAAGAATCCACGTATATATGTTCTAAATTGGCAAGAAATTTGCTCTATTAAACATGCATGTGCAAAAATTCTTTCTCTTGTTTTGGCAGACATTGTATAAAGAAAGTCGGGAAGCACAGTTTTATTTGGTAGATTCAGAAGTGCTGACACATGATGTCCCCTACCATGATTACTTCTACACCTTAAACAGATACTGTATCACCCGATCTTCAAAACAGAAGTGCAGGCTAAGGTGAGCTTCTGTAAATGAGTGTGTTAATCAGGATAAGTTAGACTATTCTCTTGTGACATATGAATCCTGAAATTTTAGTAGTGGTTGTATGCAAGAAAGCTTTATTTCCATCTCAAATTATATGCCCAACAGTGGTGAGCAGACGGGTGGGGCTCCTCACTCAAGGCCCATATCCAATGAAGGTGTTAACATCTAGGGGCTACACATTCCAGAAGAACTGTCATTTCAGTTGGTAAAAGAAGAAAAAGCTGTAGAATTGTGCATGGATTCACCAACCTTTGGCCAAAACTAGTCACTTGACCCTGTTTAACGGCAAGAGGGCTGGGAGTTCCGTGGTAGAATTCTCACCACCATGTGGAAGACCCAGGCTCAATTCCCAGCTACTGTACCTCATGTTCAGCCATCACCTCTCTGTCACTGGTTGCTTGCTGTTGCTGTAATGCTGAGCAGGTTTCAGTGGAGCTCTTAGATGAAGACAAACTAGGAAGAAAGGCCTGGAGTGTTTCAAAAATCAGCCAGTGAAAACCTATGGATCACAACAGTCAAGCCCCTAGCCGATCATGGAGATGGCACAGGACTGGGCAGCATTTTCTTCTGTTGAGCATGGGGTCTCCATGGGTTGAAGGCTGACTCAGTGGCAGCCAGCAACAGCATGGTGAGCGGTGAATGAGTCTGCTGCCATGAGAAATGTCAGTGTATTAAACAAAGTGTGGGCTGTCATGTGCTTGGGCTAGTCCAACTTATGTAGTTACTTTCGACTATTTATGAGCACTAGAGATTTTTCATACAAGAAATTTAGAAAATTTAGAATTTATTTTGAACCTTTATTGCTATTTATAGGTAAAAAGAAATTCAGTGTAGAGAAAGAAAACACCCATTTTAGAAGGAAAAATTAATGAAATTAGTAGAGCACTGAATAATTTTTTGAAGAAGTAATCAATAAATGAATTTTCTTTAGAATCTCAATGACTTTGAATCTTTCTTGTGGTTTTCCACCGAATACAATATTACACTTAATTACAATAACTAAATTCTGTTCTTTGAATATATGTTCTTAATGCATACATCACCTTTTTCCATTTTATCCTTTTAGAGTTTCCACAGATTTGAAATACAGAAAACAGCCATGGGGCCTTGTCAGATCTTTAATTGAGAAGAATTCCTGGAGTTCACTGGAGAATTATTTTAAACAGCTTGGTTTGTAATTATTTTTCATTTATCTATTTTTGTAAAAATAGAATTTATTAACAAAATAGATTATTCATTTGGATTTGTAGCAGGATTTGGTGAATGATGTTTGACTCCCACTGAAGTGGTTCCAACTACGCCCACTTGCTCTACGACTTGCGTAACTTCAGAACTTTACATTTTTACTTATCTAACAAATATTTATGTAATTCTTATTATAAGCCAGAAATTATTTGATATGCATTGTAAATATTAACTTATTTCATACTCATAACAACTCTCTGAGGTGTTGTTGTTGTTGTTATATGCCGTCCAGTCGGACCCAACTCATGGCGACCCCTCCTTGGGTTTCCGAGGCAGTATCACTACGGAAGTAGATTTCCCAACCTTCCTTCCGAAGAGTGGCTGATGGGTTTGAACTGCCAGCCTTCTGGTTAGCAGTCAAGTGCCTTAGGGGCTATGCTACCAGAGCTCCCCCTCTGAGGTGTAGGTAGTATTATTTTCCCCCCATTTCAATAATGAAGAAATTGAGACACACAGAGGTAACTTGCCCAAGACCATAAAGCTGGTAGCTGTCACATTCTCTGCCTCTGCAAGGAGCCGAGGAAGCTGACTGTAGGAAGTGACTGCAGAAGCTGATCACCAGTATACACTTGTGCTCACTAAATGCTGGAGAGCTCTTAGGCCTACACTTTCTTTATTGGATGCAGCCCACTTAGCAATACATTATATACACGTGTGACTTGGTGGAGGCAGGTACTAGAAGCTGACTGGGGAGAAGGGATACATTAGGATAGTCCTTAAAATATACATGATGAAAAAAACATACACATAATCCGGTAGCATAGTGCCTAAGGCATCTGACTGCTAACCAGAAGGCTGGAGGTTTAAACCCACCAGCCACTCCTCGAAAAGAAGGTTGGGCAATCTACTTCGGTAGTGATACTGCCTCAGAAACCCAAGGAGTGGTTGCTATGAGTCAGATCCAACTCGACGGCAGTGTGGTTTTTTTTTTGTTGTTGTTGTTGTACTCATGTAAATATAATTTTGAAGAAAAGCTGGTGGTCAACTCAGGGTAATTTAAAGCCTTATTAGTTAGTGATTAGTTATTTTCCTTGCTTTTCTCCCTTTGGCTGTTTCATTATTAACTTCATAATCAGGAGCAGAGAAAATGAAACTAAAAATTAGTTTGGCCGGTGGATAATGAACTTCTGATTAGAAAAAAAGTCTGTTGAAGGAAAAGTTTGAAACAAATGACAAAAATGAGGTCTTTAGGTTGTTTGCAGATTTTCTTTATTAGTGCTTCCTTTCTCACAAACCCTCATTGGAAATTAGAACTATTTTATGCTATTCCTTCCTTTGAGGTTGACAATCAAGTACCACAACCTATCTTGGAAATTCTTTTAATGATCCTGTGTAAATGGGCAGCCTGTTGTTTCTATAACTGAAATAGTTACATTAATATTTAATATAGCACTGGGCAAATTTGCTCTAATGATTCCATAATTTATTGATACTGTTCATTCTTCCTAGAATAATGGAGCCTCATTATGAGGTTATTGTACCCTCAGAAGCTTTTCATTAAGAGTAAGGTTTGAATTTAGGCCACTAGAACCTAAGGAATAGCTAAAGAAAAGTAACCGAGGCTTAAAAAAACAAACAGGAAATAAGACAACCACCCAAAACCCCTTGTATCTTGTGTTGTCATGTGCCATCGAGCTGAAACTGACTCATAGTGATCCCTCCTTGGGTTTCCGAGGCAGTATCACTACGGAAGTAGATTGCTCCATCTTCCTTCCGAGGAGTGGCTGGTGGGTTTGAACCGCCAGCCTTCTGGTTAGTAGTCAAGTGCCTTAGGTATCTTGTAGTTGAGAAAAATTTCCCCTTATCTAAATAAAGTTTCTTTTTCATTTTCTTATTAGAGTCAGATTTGTTAATGGAAGAATCTGTGTTAAGTCAGTCCATTGAAGACCCTGGAAAACTTAGTGGCCTGAGAAGAAGAAGGAGAGCATTCAACAGAACAGCAGAAATAGTTCCTAAAATTTCTTCTCAGCGCTCTTCTAGAGACGTGGGCTTAGATGTCAAAAGAGGTATGATAAAACCAAAACCAAACTCACTGCTGTCCAGCCGGATCTGACTCATAGTGACCCATCCTTGGGTTTCCGGGGCAGTATTACAATGGAGGTAGATTGCCCAACATTCTTTCTGAGGAGGTATAATAGGTAGCTAATAAACAAAGGTAATAGATGTTTAGTTTAGTTTTATGAGGCAGACTGTATCTCGTGTATATAAGAGATTTTTAATAATGTTTATAAAACTCCATATTCCTTCAAAATAACTAATACATAACCCTAAAGTAGCAGTTCAAAATGGCAGGAGCTCTGGTGGCATAGTGCCTAAGGCATTTGACTGCTACCAGAAGGCTGGCTATTCGAAACCACCAGACACTCCTGGGAAGGAAGGTTGCGCAATCTACTTCCATGGTAATACCGCCTCGGAAACCCAAGGAGGTGTCACTACGAGTTGGAATCCACTCTATGGCAGTGAGTTTGGTTTTTTTGGTTTGGCTAATTTAATATTCATTTGAAAAGAACTGGAAAAGAAATTTTAAAATAATTATTTGTAAGGACAAAGGGATTTAGGGTAGATTTCCTGTACTCCTTTTTGATTTCTGATATCTTGAGTAGTGTGAAACAAATTTGAGAAAGTAAAACCTACATCAGTCCTTCAAATTTGGCCTATATTATAAATTTCTTTAAAATAAGCAATTCACTACATCATATATGATCTCTAGCTAAGTACTATCTCGGCAAATAATATTTTGACTTGGGTTTATGTAGAATGTTTCCCTCTTTAAAAAAGAAAAACATCACCCTCATCTGATGCCCAAACTTTTAAATTCCAAAATTAAAGAACCATTATTCTTCAATGAGGGAAGAGGTATAAGTGTGAGAAGAATACTGTAGGAGAATGCAAAGATATACTAGCTTTACACCTCTGAGAGGGAGAAAGTAGCAGTAGGGACAAGACATCATCAAAGTCGAGAGCACGATAATCAAAGTCAAATTCCATCTTTGCAATTTTGTTGGACTGGCCCTGACAGTGCATAGGATTGAAAGCATATAATCACTGTGGTAAACTCAGAGAAGGCAATCAACAGTCTGCAAATACTAGCAGGAAGCATAAATGATTGAAGCCGTCCAGGAGCAGAGGGAGGGGTGAGGACTGTGGTGAGCTAGAAGCAACACTCCATCTACCAAGTCGCTATTACTAAGCTCCAACCGATTGTTGCAATGAGGGGGTTTAGGCCCAGGCCTATCAGATCTGACTTTTTAGTATAAAAGTATCCATCTTTTAAAATACCATGAGGGCTTACAGTTATACTCAAAATCCTGATTCTAATGCATTAATGCAGCTTTTGAAATTTTATTTTATTGTTTTTGATCTGTAGAAAAGAAAAAAGGAATGGAAAGCTATAGTACCGCTCTAATTGTGGTGATGAGTATATTGTAAGTATTTGTTCTGAATGCATGTTTTGTTTGTGTATCCATCTTTTAACTGGTTTCAAAAAGGATTTGAATGGAATTGTATATTACTGTGTAGAAATTGCCAGTATTTGACCATTGTTTTCCTGCAAAACAGAAATGTCATGTGCTTCAACCTGAGAGTTTTGATGTATGAATTATTTTCAGAATTGTTAACATTGGTGGGAGTACAAAGTACACATCTAAAAATGTCTTTATTTTTAAAATAATCTGATTTCTATCATAGGTTTTTATGGAAGTTCCATAAATTTAAAGGGAATAATTATATATACAGGCCAGTGAAATCCCATTAGTACTGTCATATTCTACATATTTGATTAGAACAGTGCTTCATAACCTTTACTATGAGAACCAGTTGGGGAGCTTGCTAAAATGCAAATTCCTAAGCCTCAATCCTAGACATTGATTCAGTAGGTCTTGAGCAGGGATCAGGAACCAGTATTTTAAAACACATCCTGTGTCATTCCCAGGCAAGTGGCCTCATGACCACATGGTGAGAAATATTAAGGCAATTAGTGTGGATCAGCGTATTTCATAGGAATCTTCCCAGCCAGTCCTATTACTAATATTGAATATTGAGATAGTTCATTAGGTTTTATTGAATTGTTTCTGACTTGGTAATATAGTCTGGTTTTTGGAATAAAGCTTTCATATCACCTGTTTTTCTTAAGTATAGATTTCAGAAAATAGAAAATGTGTGTTTTTCCTTTGACTTTTCGAAAAGTTGGTAATATTCTGATTAAATAGGTTTGCTATGACCATTTTATAGTAAATATTTGTGATTATTTGCATTAGTTGCAGAAAATTTAACTCAAATGTTGAAATGGTGATCTTTACCACATTTCGATGCCTTAATAATTTCATAGATCTCATTTTCTTGCTTTTGCTTTTTTTTTTAAATCCTCCTTTGAAGTGGTAAAGTGAACACTATATATTTTTAAGGCAAGTCAATATTTTAACAGAAGAAATAAGTAGAAGGTTATGATGCTACTTATATACTTGGGTATATTTGTAATAAAGTATGTATCCATTCACTTGAAAAGCATGTAACATTTTACATATGATACCATTAATGTATAGTTAGAATGGGATACTTCCTTTGTCTATGATGAACTAGAAAAAAATTTGCTGAATGGTAACGTTTTGTTGTTGTTTTCCACTGTAAGAGGCACCTTGTGATCTAAGATCAACTCCCTATTGTTCTCTATTTCCTTTTGGAAATCCAGCATTATGGATTTATCATTGTTTAAGCCTAAACCACTCAAAAATAGACCTTGAAATCTTACCTGATAGATTTCTAAGCTGGTGGTTGCCACATCAATATCAGTTGTGATTCCTAGAAGGGAGGAGAGGTGCTAGCGACAATCTCAACTCACTTTATTTGAGGACTTTATTGTCACTCTGGTTGTCTTCCATTGTTTTTCTCAACATCCACTTAATACTGAAAGTAATTCTTTTGCACAATAAAATAGGGATAATTGATTTGAATAATAACAATAAGTGGCAAAGTAGTTAAGTGCTTGACTGCTAACTGAAAGGTCGGCTGTTAGAATCCACGAACTGCTCCACGGAAAAAAAATGTGGCAATCTGTTTCTGTAAGATAGTCTAAGCAGTGTACATTTTTTGACGTTTTTGCATGTATATTTTGCATTATTAATGCTCTAGGTCTAGATAAGAGTGAATTAACCAAGTATGGTTTTCTTTGCCCAGTTTGCTGTTGCTAGTTTTATTGAATGTGACACTGTTTTTGAAGCTGTCAAAGATAGAATATGCTGCTCAGTCGTTTTACCGTCTCCACCTCCAAGAAGAGAAATCTCTAAAGTAAGTTTGTTTTTTTCCCCCCAGCCTGTTTTCATCATTTTATTTCAATAATTCTTTAGTGGGAGAAATTTTCTGTCCAATTTCAGAGAGTTTGATCTATCCTGTAGTGTATATTGCTTGTTTTTGTTTGCTTTAATTTTGTGTTTTCATTGCATATTTATGGGGCACTGAAGATTTCTAGAAATGAAAGATCAGAAAACTATTCTCTTGATTCTTGCAAAGATCTGGAGGTGCAGTGGTAAAGTGCTTGGCTGCTAACCATAAAGGGTGGTGATTCAAACCCAACAGCTGCTCCATGGGAGAAAGATGTGGTAGTCTGCTTCCATAAAGCTTTACAACTTTGGAAAGCCTGAGGACAGTTCTACCCTGTCCTGTAGGGTCACTATGAGCCAGAACCAATTTGACAGCAATGGGTGTGGTTCTTTGGGGGGGGTTTTATTGTTCTTGCAGTTTAGCCTCTGATATGATGTCAGGAGCAGAAAATACTTGGAAGAACAAAGATCAGGCTCATCGTTTAAAGGGAGTGCTCCGAGACTCCATAGTCATGCTTGAACAGGTAGGCAATTCTACATACCACACTACTTAGTACCTTCCTACCAGTGTGAATCAGTTGATGTTCTGGCTGTGAGGGGATTTTTTATTATAACATTATTTGAAGAAATTCCCCTCCTAGAAGAAACTACCTCTGCTAGTTTCTTTCTGTATTATGAATATATGTGTATAGTTCTGTATTGTGCATTATGTATGTAGTTGCTTGTTTTATTTTACATAGTGGGAACATACTATACACACTGTTGTGTACCCTCTCTTTTCAATTAGTCTATTTGGAAGATTTTCCATATCAGCATATATATACACTTCATTCTTTTTAGTGATCCTTCCAGAGAAAATTTTATACATAATATTAACTCTTTTTATAGATGGTAGATATTGTATATATCAATTATTTTGCTTTTATCTATTAACCATATATTTTGGAGAGACTTCCATATAAGTAAATAAAGTGCATCATCATTCTTTTAACAGCTGCATGGGATTCAGTTGTGTAAATGTGCCATAATTATTTTACTAGTTTACCATAGAAGAACAAATGTTTAGGTTATTTCTGGTCTTTTTCATTAACATTAACTTGTGAACATAACATCATCAGTGTGTGCTGCTCAGTTGCCTGCACCAAAACCTGGGTTGTTGCCCTTTGAAAAATAAAGACAATTTTTTCTTTTTCCACGATGAGTATAATGCATGCTCACTTTTTAAAATTAAAAAATAGAGAGTAACGGAGGAAAACCTATAGTTCTAGCATTCAGACACAATCTCTGTAATATTTTTATTTTTATAATTCAAGAAAACTTTTTTAAATGTTTTTTTCTAATACCATTTGTTTTTGATAAGATTGTATTATTGAGCATGTCTGTGGTATCATGTGGGCACAGATGGGTGCAGCTTCAACTGGTATTCCATTGGTGCACCTTATCTACATTTCTCCTCCCCTCTGGTAGTGTAGTGCTAAAACACTTGACTGCTAACCAGAAGGCTGATGGTTCAAACACACCAGCCACTCCTTAGAAGGAAGGTTGGGCAATTTACTTCCGTAGTGATACTGCCTTGGAGACCCAAGGAGGGGTCTCTATTAGTTGGGTCCAACTCAAGGGAACATAACAACAACAACCATCTCAGCAAAGAGTCCGTCACAGATTCTTACTTTTCTCCTCAGCCTCTGCTGGCATTTCTTCCTCATTCTTAACTTATGGCCGTGTCTCACAGAGAAGGGGAACGTTCAGATGGGACCTCCCTCCCCTTCTATAACCAAATCTACAAGGCTTCCTACCCTTACACCTGTCCTCATCTTCACTCTTGTTAGAAGGAGAGAGGCATTCCTCTGCTTGCGGGGGACAAGTCCTAGCATGTGTTTTCGGAATGCCATCTTCACTTCATCAGCTGCCCCTCCTGCATTCATTAAATCATGAGCATCAGCACGGACCCTGCTCTGTTATCTCCTGTACTAAAATACCCATGTTCCTCTCACCCTTCTTCATCACTGCTCCCTCTCTTTCTTTCATAGTCACGCTCCTTCAAAGAGTTGCCTACCCCTGCTGTCACTACTTTATAACCCACTCACTTTTTAATGTTTTTATTTTTACAAAAACTTGGTCTATAAGGTTTGTTCAGAAAAAAAGCAATCCCAGCACCCTCTTCTCTATTTATTTCCCAAAGACAATTTGCAACTCTTTTAGTTTGCACTTTTAGTGTTTACCTCATATTTATAAATAATAAGCATGTATTAAGACTTCTTGATTTTTCTATTTTAAATATTATTTCTTGACTTCCCAGCAGGGAAGATATCAATTTGGTTTTCTTTCCTTTCACCTACTTCTAGGCCTCCTATGTTCCCGTTGAAGGTATTCCATAATTTTGGTTAGATCAATAGTGAGTGTTAACCTTGACTAAGTCTATGATTCAGAGCTAAGCTACAAAATAAACCATGACCCCTTTTTTTCTGTTCCTTTTGTTATCCCTGAGATTGTCTTATTTTATTGCTGATTAGTTTATCAGAATTATTTTTAAAATATTTCACCCCCTAATTCTCTCTTGTATAAATCTTCTCTCAAAATCTCCATTCCTCTCTGGGGCTCTATCAGTGGAGCCTTATGACTGGCTTTAATTGGGTCCATTGCCTTCTGGCCTGGTGCACAGCTATTCTCATGGAGATTCACATTGCCTTGCTCCTCTGTTTATCTAATGTTTCCTATATTTTCTTGGTTTACTCCCTCCTCTTAGCAGAGCATATCCTCTAGTAGCTGCTTGTTTTTTATTTCCTTTTTAAATATTTCATTGTTTTTTAGGTGAAAGGTTACATGGTAAATTAAGTTCCCATTTGACAATGGTTCTCATTATTTCTGTTCTGATGGTTCTGTTTCCATTGATCTAGTTTCCCTTCTTGCCTTCTCATCTTTGCTTTTGGGTAAATGTTGATTCTTCTCATATAGTTAATTGTTTAAGAGACACCTTACAGAGAGATGATACTTATAATTCAATCTGTTGTTTGACTGAAAGGTGACCTCTGTAATGAGTTTCAGTTTTAGTTTAAAAAAGTATCTTAGGGTGATAGTTTCAGGGCCCCTCCAGTCTCTATCTATTTGTGTTTTTTTTTTTTTTTTTCAATCAATTTCTGTTTTGTTCTATGCTTTTCTCCCATCCTTTCTTTTAAAAAAAAAAATTCTTTATTTTGTGATTTGAGTGAAAATTTACAGAGCAAATTCACTTTTCATATAGCAGTTCACATACACTTTGTCTCATGACACTGACCACAATTCACCACAGTGCAACAACTCCCCTCCCACTTCCTCCCAATTGTTATCTCCATGCATTCCTGCCCCCTGAGCTGTCTCCCTGTGGTTAAACAGCTCTTCTTTCTCCCATGATTATTCTCTACAAGGAGTGTATCTACCTCAGGTAAACGTTCAGCTCCTATGCCTGTCTTTTGTTTGGATGGAAGCCACAAGTATGGGTTCAATTCCAGACCTGAAGGGCAGCTAGTGGTCATAGTCTCACTGGTTCCACCAGGCTCTATCTGACCAGCAAACCTGGTCCCCCTTTATTTTTTCCTTTTTCCAAATGATTTTTAGTTTTGTTCCACATTGGTCTCCCTCTCTCCAGGATCTCCTACATAGATCCCCCTCCAAGTGGTTGACAGTGGTAGCCAGGCACCATCTAGTTCTTCTGATCTCATAGTCATATAGACTGCAGATCACATGGTGTACCAGTCACTAGGACTAATTCTTTCCATGAATCTTTGGTTTTCTTCATTCTTCTTTGCTCTGGATGAGGAGAGACCCATTGTTGCATCGGGATGACTGCTTGCAAGCTTTTAAGATCCCA